CCTCTCGCAATCAGGGCCCCTCAGGGGATGTCGGAGAGACGGTTTCAACCCGATCCCCGCAGCCAGGCCGAGGGACCCTACTGTTGCATGAATCCGTGCACCGGGCCGCTAGTAAGCATATATGAGTCCAGACTGATATAAATTAATAAATTAATGAATGAGAAAGAAAAGCTCTCTCTTAAGGTAAGATACCAAGTAATAAATGTAGGAGGAATGATGGAGTTAGAAAATCATGATTTTTGCATCCATCATGGAAATAATCTTTTCAGCTGTGAATCATCATTGGATTCTAAAAATTTGTGGGTGAAAATCCAATGGAGAAAGGGTATCTATATAACCTCAAAATATCCCCTTACAAATTACTTATTACAAAGGGGAAAACTCACATTACTGAACACTCCCTTAATCAACTAACTAAAGTTAACCTCATTAATAAATGGAATAAATTGAATCACAGACTTTCTGATATTGATGCCCTTAAAGGGACAGTATGTCCTTTCTGTGACATTCATAACTGAATTTAATGACAAGAATAATCCAACACAAAATAGGAAGGTTCTAAAAATAACTGTCATATTGGAAGGTAAAGAAAAGCTGAGGACATAGCAAATACAAGAAGAATAAAGATATATGACAACTAATGATACTGGATTAGACTCCAGACCAGGGGGTGAGGATGGGGAACATAGTTATAAAAGATATTTTGGGACAGATGGTGAAATTTGAATATGAACTATCTGTGGGTTAGAACAAAGTTTCCCAAATATTCTTGGTTCAAGGTACCCTCAGTGTCTCAATAATTTTTTTCATGGTCTTCCTTGGCCAAAAGAAATATCTAGGTCCAAACAACTTATTAAGTATTTATGCCCTAACAATTTAGTTGCTATTTGGAAAAAAATAATACATGCAAATTGAACAAAAATATATTTTATTTCCATCTTAACCACAGTTACTTACTAGTGGGATGTGTGCACCTGTTGGGCACTGCACAACTTCTCAAACCTTGGGATCAGGTTGGACAAGACCACCCTAATTTCCTGTTCCACACTGATTTTTGCACTGTACTTGGGTTTTTATCACAGTCATGGAAAAAGTTTCCCCTATGACATATTTAAGGAATATGGCGCCATCTATTGTAGAAATTGCAAACAACCTCAGGCAAGTAGGTTTGCATAGTCTTAGATTTCATTTTGCCTTGAGAATTTAGAATGTAAGATATCCTACAGATATCCGCGGTGAACTGAATTCACTGTGGGTCTGTGGGGCACTTCAGTACACAGTATGAGACCCACAGGATTAGATAATAGAGCTGTATCGGAGTTCCATTTCCTGATTTTGGTAAATATACTGTTGCTATGTAAGAGAAGTCCTTGTCTTGGAAAACACACATGGAAGTGTTTATGGGTAAAGACACACACCTGCTATTTACTCTCAAATGATTCAGGAAAAAACATGTGGATAGATAAATGGATAAATAAATAGAACACTGGCTATAGCAAACGAGACAACATGTTAATCGATGAATCTGGATAAAGGGTTGATATAAGATTTTGTTCTATTCTTGAAACCTTTCTGAATAAATTATTTCAAAAATATTTCTAAAAGATATGTCACAATACTACACTTCATGTGTATAACACATACAGTAAGAACAATTTTTAAATGTGTGCAAATTAAAAGCACCAATTCAGAGAGTTGCAACCTTTTGTAGAGATGGGGTAGGGTTGTACTGGGGAGGAATACACACAGCATCTGTGATGCTTTATTCTTAAGCAATGTGGTAGATACACTGATATTCATTATGTTGTTCTCTCTACCTTTAAGAATGCCCAATATATTTCCCAATTTACTTTTAAAATACAGGTTTAACATATGTAGAATCTTTCTTAATACATAAATATAAAAAACATAAGGCTACTGTTTATTGGGTCTACTGTACTTCCTGGGTATTCTTATAAAGGAGCTCTTGGAATCAATTTCAAGGCATATAATATTTTAAAATTAAAGTTTTAAATTGAGATATTTGAAAATCGAACTTAAAATAACTATTATGAAAAGTTGAGTCTTTATTCGTGGGCATTCTCCCCCGCAATCCTCCCCAGCACCTCATGCCCGTGTGGCACCAGCATAAATATAACAGAGCTGGCTCCAGCACTCCTGCTCCTAACCCATATACCGCTTCATCCAGCTCCACACCACACACAGCCAATCCATGCTTCTCTTTCTTCTTTCTATATTAAAGACTGGAAAAGAAAAGCTACTTTCTTGCTTTTTCAATTCCAAACTAATTTCACACAGCCAGTAGAAAATATGGATATTCACACTCAAACCTTGAAAACATCAATATGCAAAAATGATAATATATTTTAAACCTCGACATGTGTTATTGCCCTTCTGCTCAAGAGCAACATACCTAATCAGTCTTTAATAGTTAGACTTGACATTTTGCAATTATTCTACCACAATACCAGTTCTGTTACAGGGTGAAAGGTGAACTGTCAAAGAAACAGATGTTTCTTGACTTTATTAAATCATACTGAGAGATCAGTATCTGGAGAATAAGTTTAAATCCAATTATTTTAAGCTTAAAACGATCAATATTCTAACCATGGCTTATATTTCATATTTGTAAAGAATTTTAGAAGCTTCATTGAACTAAGTTATATCACTTATTCATAATGAAAACCCAGAATAGGCTTTCTTCTTGAAAAGCATATAATGTTTTAAAATTAAAATTTTAAATAGAAATATTTGAAAATCTAACTTAAATAACTAGTATACATATTTGAGCCTTTATTCACTGTCTTCCTGCAATACATTTAAGATGCTTACAGCTATGGGGGACACAAGCAATACTACCACTGTCCTTGTAGTTTACTGGGAACTGGCAGCCATTTTTTTCAGGGCACTAAAAAATTCATTTATCAAGGTCTGTTTATCTTCTGTAACTGAGGATATGGATTCAAAAATTACAGTTCCTTTTAGACTGATTTTTATCAAGAAGACGCTTTTCTTATCCCTTGGAATGAGAGAGTATAAAAGCGGCTACATTAGAATTCATTTGTCATATTGTCAGCTAAAGGCAAGGTGAGGACAGAAGATGGGGCTAAGTTTGGATGTGAGTGGCATGAAGGCGCTGACAGCTATAATCACAGGCACACACACCTTGATAGAGCTGGACGAGTGTAAGAAAAGTCTAGTCTGAACTTCCCTCCTACAAATTAGAACTACATAATAGAAGAGTAAGGACTAAACTTAAACCCATGTTGACTCCAAACAGCCATTTAAAAAAAAAAATTTTTTTTTTTAATGATAGGAATAGGATTCAGATCTTGCCTGAGGCCTATTGAACCCAAGAAGGAATGTACCTGCCGAAAAGGACTCCTTGTGGGTAACTGGGTCCAAATTCATAATCCAGAGTCTGGCAGCCATTGTTTAGAGTGGCCCCTCTTCACAGAGGGATCTGCCAAACCTCCTGCACTGTGTTCCTGCCCAAACAGAACCTGACAAAGGAGTTCTTAGAATCATGTTTTGACCAATGGCCTGAGACCTGCCCATTCAATCGGAGCTGACATGCACCCTCATTTACATCTTTACTGACCAATCAGAGCAATTCCATAACCACCAATCAGAATGCACAATTCCAACCAATCAGGACAGTGCTATTTGGACCAATTAAACTGTGAACATTTGGATTCCTTATTTGCATAAAAAAGGACCAATCAGGGTCGAGGGCAACCACTTTCCCTATATAAGTGGGTTTCCTGGCCTCTGGAGGGAGCCACTTTTGATTTTTGCCCAGCTTGCTGTTTACCTGGATAAAGTCCTTCCTTTTTCTGACTCCTGTTGGCATTGGGTTAGGGGCAGAGCATTTTTGTGGACCGGCCCCTCCTCCAGAACCAGGGCCTGAACTTCCCCACTTCCCTGGCTCCTGGCTTTGGCTCTTTGGAGCCAGAGCTGGGGGAACAAAATATTGGAGGGGTGAGTGGACCGCCAGTATGGACTGAAGAATCCAGAAAACAATCCCAAATAGACCATGGTCTGCGTAGAATTTTGGCTGGCTGAGCCTTGAACTAGTTAATCCGTAGTTCCAGATGCTTCCAAGGGGAGGATCTGCCCTAAAAGCCGCGAACAGAGCAAATGCCTAAGTCCTGGAGCAGCGGTTCTCAACCTGTAGGTCGAGACCCCTTTGGCGGTCGAACGACCCTTTCACAGGGGTCGCCTAAGACCATCAGAAAACACATATATAATTACATATTGTTTTTGTGATTAATCACTATGCTTTAATTATGTTCAATTTGTAACAATGAAAATACATCCTGCATATCAGATATTTAAGTACGATTCATAACAGTAGCAAAATGAGTTATGACGGAGCAACGAAAATAATTTTATGGTTGGGGGTCACCACAACATGAGGAACTGTATTAAAGGGTCGAGGCATTAGGAAGGTTGAGAACCACTGTCCTGGGGCCTCTGGGCGCAAAGCCGCCCCT